TTTCTTTTTAATTGCAGGTGATTGAACAAAGATGGTGGGCGGCAGTGGGCCAAGGAACGTGAACTCGAGGTACCAGAGGGCACGTCAGGACGTAGATGTCGGAGAGAACGCATCGGACGGGAGGAGGCAGAGGGCCAGGAGCAGCGGCAGCGGGAGCGGCAGCAGGAGGGGCCGGCCTCCTCTAGTCAGGCCGCGTGACGTGCCGGAGGAGCGCCGTACCACGAACTCCTCGGAGGACGAGCAGTTACAGAGACGGACGAGGTTCGAGGCGACAGACAAATGAGGAGAGAGGCAGGGAGGTGGCGAGGCCGAAGTAGTTCCCACCGCCTCTGCTGCGGCTAGCCCCTACTTGCGAGGTCCCTCAAAACTCCCCAGGCCTCCGCTTCCTCCCCACGCCCAAAGGATCCTCCCCGTGGGGACAGTAACTAACTTTAGATTTAATCACAGCTACTTTCATATAACCTGTTGAAAATTGTCGAGAAACTAATAATGTTTGTTAATGACTTGTGCAGCACCGGAGGTTGTGTCGCCTGGTGACTCACGCAACCCCAACCACATCTTGGGGCTTGTGTGCAGCACTATTACCCCAGCATTGTCACGCACAAGGGGACCTGTGGGGCCGGCCAAATCGTGGGACCACTATAAATCCGCCTCGACGCAATAATATGAAGACAAGCGAGAGCGGGTCGGGAGAGAGTTCTTACAGGTAAGTCTCGTTCACACAACTTTGATCAATACATCGCATTCATTTGACACTTTTGACATAATGAATTGATACATTGTGTCTGTCTCACAGACTTTTTTCGTGTGTGAAGAGGGACAGGAGGAGAGGGCGGAGAAGAACTTGGTGAAAAGTGCTAGGAAACGATCAATGACATGCACTACGAGGAGCGCCTCACTTGCATCATCAAGTACTACACGCCACGCGACTTGGTCGAAAAGTCAAGAAGACACAGTGCAAGACAGATGTCTCCTCGACCGGAACAAAGACATTGAGGTAAATGAAGAAGAATAATACTTGATTCGTTTTGAGATTAAGTAGCTTTCATTTGGTCGTCTTTACATCTCAAATTCTTTATGACATGTAGATGATTCCATGGTGGTGCGAGTCCTTTGCCGACTCACTGGAGATGATCGTGGACAGTGTGGTTCACAGAGAGGGTTATATCCAGAACACGGCTTCCACCGGGAGCGGGCTTTGCAGCGACAGTTCCCACACACCACCAAGGCACCCGCAGCCTTGGCGCATACAAGCAAGCTTGGGTACTTGAATTCATTTTAGTATTCTCGACGCCCATTCTCAGATGTTTCTTCTAATCATCTTGTTGTCTTTCTCGCAATCGGCGTCGCATGGTGGCCACCTTTGTCCACGTTCATGGCGTATGGATCGCCCGCAAGGGAAAGGCGACTTCATTGTCACCTTCAGCCGGATGACCCACCCGAGTCATCTGAAAACCAGTAAGCGTCCACACCGCGCCGATTACTCCTACGCGTCGGACGCAAGGTCGGTCCAGGCGGATCGGGATCCGAGCACCGGCGACATTGATGGCACGACCGTCATGAGGATCGGACAGGGCAAGAAGCATGGGCGATCGGGCTTGGCGATGGCACCCTCGAGTCCGGCTCTGTTCCTCCCTCTCCCGAGATCCGAGCAAGTACCCGGCGGAGGCCCGCCATATCGCCAACGGCCGTCCCCTTCACAGCAGCGGGTCGACGCACTCCAGGTTAGTCCAGTTTAACTCTTCATACATTGATCTTTACATAACTTAGTTACCTTTACATTACTAAAACATTCGATTGAAATGTTGCAGTCGATATAACGAGAGGATGGCTCAGAGTCATGCGGGACTGGCGGCGAGGACCGAGGTGGCGGCGGGAAAAGACAAGCCGAAGCGGGCGGAAGGGAGAGACAGCGAAGCAATCGGTGGCGGAGATTACGATGTTCTGCGAGAACTTTGGGCAAGTGAACGGTGTACTGTGCCGATGTTCGCTCCAGCCATACCGCCGCCGCCAGCCAGTAGCTAGTCCAAAGGAGTATGAATCCATATTGCTTCGACTAGTGCTTTCATTAGATGACCCACTCTAAGCGCTGAATCTCTTGTCCTTTATGCAGCCTCCGTCAAGGGGTTCGAATGACCCATCTCAGCGCAAGCGTGTGGTGCCGAGTTTCCTTCACCGTGCACTCCGGTTTCCTCCCCACCTTTAGTTTGTATCTCTTTTTCACCGCTTGATGGACATGTGATGCAATCGTGATCCACTATCGACTTGTTACGATGGTAATTGGACCTATTATGTTTGTGATGTCGTGTATGTGAGGTATTGTATTCATGATGTGATATATATGTGTGGGATTGAGTTTGTGATGAGATGGATGTGATATATATGTGCTATATTGTCTTTGTGATGCTTCAGATGTGATACATATCTTTTATATGTTGTGTTTGTGATTATAGAATCAAAAAACAAAATAAAAAAAATTAATTTTTGAGGCTTTGCGGGTGCCACAACCACGGCACTTTCGGCAAAAAGCGGGAATTCTGAAAGGAATTCCCAGCTTTGCCGAAAAGCCGTGTCCAGGCACCCGCAAAAAAGTTTTTTCAAAAAAATCTTTGCCGGGTGCCCCATGACCGGCACCCGCAAAAAATTACTGAAAAAAAAAAAAAAACTCTTTGTCGGGTGCCCCTCGGTGAGACACCCGGCAAAGAAATTATAAAAAATAAAAACATCTTTGCTTGGGTGCCTCCCGACGGCACCCGCAAAGAAAAATTTGAAAAAATAAATAAAAAAATCTTTGCGGGTGCCTCTGATATGGCACCCGGCAAAGCAAGGGATGACGGAGCCGGCGCCGTAACAACCACTTTTCTTTGCCGGGTGCCGGGTTTGCACTCGGCAAAGTCTTTGCCGGGTGCCCGATAAAAAGCACCCGGCAAAGAAATCTTTGCCGACTAACTTTTTGCCGGAGGCTCTTTGCCGAGTGCTGCACCCGGCAAAGGCTTTGCCGAGTGCAAAGTAGCCTTTGCCGGGTGCATTCGGCACCCGGCAAAGCGCCTGAATCCAGTAGTGAATCATGCTCATTTCCCTACAAAATATTGTTTGACAGAACTACTTTGGATCCAAACTTAGGAGCTGGTTTGAGAACTCTCCCGGTAGACTCTTAATAAGCAAATTTATTTGCACCCAAGTACCAAAAGTTAACCAAAAACACCACCCAAGACATGCTTGACAATTCATGAGAAGAAACATCCTTACTATCATTTTGGTTCACCTTAATCATCGTTAACAATAATAGCTATCTATCTAGCCTATCCCTAAAAGTCACAGCTATTCCATCATGGAAAAATAATCCTAACATTATTGTGATTACTCACATTCGTTTTTTCTAATAGTTAACCTAAAGCACCCCTTTAAATTATATATCTCTATCGTTATAAAAAAATAATCCGATGCTTGCTTTCAAATTGCCATAATCTATTATGATATAACAAAAACTAACGCAAAGAGTTCATATTTTGCATTGCTCCACATGCTTTCGAATAAACATTACTCTCTATGTCCTGAAATACAAGGTATCCAACCAATTTTATGACAAAAAAAAATAATAAAGAGTTTGACAAAGACTAATGTACCTGTCACTAAATTGTTCGGTTGTCAAGTTGCTTAATTTTCTAGTATTCATACTTTTAATTTTTAAAAGGTATACATGCATGCCATTGATCTCGACTACCAAATATAGGTGTCATTTTGATCAAGATGGTGTTTAAAAGACATGCATGGATGAGATCTAAAAGGCAGGCACGAACGCATGGGATTGAGCAATCCAAAGTACTTTATAATTTGGAACAAATTTTGAACTTTCACTATCTTGTGTTTCAAGATAGAGAAAGTACTTTAGTTCCTTTCACTACTTCCAAGTTATGTGACCAAAGTGAACAAGGAATTCATGGAATATTGTGCCATCATGGCCACAAAGATATAACGAATATTGCATGAGAAAAAGATAAATAATGTTGCATAAAACACTCATTTATTCAAGGGAATTTGTAATGAAACAGCGTCAACATAACGGCGTCAATGACCCATAGATCATATATAGGTATTTCACATAGATCTGTTAGAACGGAAGGAGTCTTAGTTTTGCAGCACTGCTATCTGAAGCTGCACCTTCTCAAGACAGCAAGCAACAGCCTTCACAAAATAACCCTTGTCTCCAGCAGATCCATGTCACATATGTAACCAGCAACCTATTATATATCAAGCAACATTGGATTAAGCCATCACTGCTCAAGACCATTGCCTCGTTTTAAATAACAGCAGCATATGACTAGATCATCATCCCACGGGCCAGGCCCGGCCCGGTCCAATTCAGGAAACCAATCACGTTCCTAGTGTATATAACATTCCAGTGTTCACGGAGCATAATATAATAGATTATACTCCTTGAGCGGGTCGTTATCTCCATCCAATGAAATTGCTAAGCCTAGACAAAACGGCCGGGGGATAAGAACCTGATGATGAAATTAGTAGCAAACTTAAGCCTGTCGTAGACTCGTAGTGTCGTCGTAATTGATTTCGTCAGCCGCAGTCGCAGAAAACTACTATAGCAAAGCTCCATCGATGACCTCGAGTAAATTATCCGGCCGACGGCGGCAGACCAGGCTGCGCGCGCTGAATCCCCCACATATTTGTTACTGTTTTGATCTGAGATGGCTGCGCTGGGTGCCCTCAACTTTTGAACGCGTGCTCTTCTTGTTCTCATCTGTTCTTCTGTCAACTCTTTTCTACTGCGTCCCTGGCTTTACCAGCTCGACTCCGGGAAAAATCACCTGCCGGAACACACACACACACACACACACCCCTTGTCATGGCCTCCGATCTCCATGGACGGTCTGCATCGTCGTGCTACATTGTAGGGAGTGAGGACCTCTTCTCATCCGAGGCTTCGTTCACGGCAAGCAGTGCAAACCTCCAGCTTCTCTCTAGCGTCAGCTTCATTCACCCAAATGGCAGCACCGGAGAGTGATCGCCTTCGCTCGCCGCCGTACTCCATTTTGACAAGCGTGGCGCCATCAAACGAGGCGAAGCTCGACGCGCATGGCCCCGACGCCGGCGAGCCCAGGACCACCCACCCGCAGCCGACGCTGACGGTGAGGAGCGAGGAGCCGCCGCGGCAGCAGCAGCAGGGCACGCTGGCGCGCAGCGACAGCACGGGGGAGCGGGACCGGCGGTTCGACCAGTTCAAGACCTTAGGCGGACGCCTGGAGCGGCAGCTGTCCAGCATCCGCGGGGGGTCGCAGCACCCGCACCCGGACCCGGCCGCCGCCGGCGACGACGAGGCCAGCAGGGACTCCGAGGCGGAGACCGACGACTACGGCGGCAAGTTCCCCACCGCCGACCGGTACTTTGCGGCCCTGGAAGGGCCCGAGCTCGAGACGCTCCGGGCGACGGAGGTCCCCGTGCTGCCCGAGGATGAGACGTGGCCGTTCCTGCTGCGGTTCCCGATCAGCGCGTTCGGGATGTGCATGGGCGTGAGCAGCCAGGCGATGCTGTATAAGACGCTGGAGCTGGAACCTTCCACGGCGTTCCTCCGCGTGAGCCCCGGCGTGAACGACGTGCTCTGGTGGGTCTCCGTCGCGCTCATGGCGCTCGTCTCCTTCATCTACTCCCTCAAGGTTGTCTTCTACTTCGAGGCGGTCCGGCTCGAGTTCCACCACCCGATCCGCGTCAACTTCTTCTTCGCCCCGTGGATCGCCTGCCTCTTCCTCGCGAAAGGCCTGCTAGAGCCCTTGACGTCGTTGCACCACGCGGTGTGGTACCAGCTGATGGCGCCCATCCTGTTCCTCGACCTCAAGATGTACGGGCAGTGGATGTCCGGCGGCGAGTGGCGGCTGTCCCGCGTGGCGAGCCCGACCACCCACCTGGCCGTCGTGGGCAACTTCGTCGGCGCTCTTCTTCTTCGCCGTCGGGATGGTGCACTACGTGGTCCTGTTCGTGACGCTGTACCAGCGGCTCCCCAGTCCCCACCAACTTGCCGCTGCCGAGGGACCTCCACCCGGTGTTCTTCCTCTTCGTGGCCACGCCCAGCGTGGCGTCGGTGGCGTGGGCCAGGATCAGCGGCGAGTTCGGCCTCGGCGCCAGGGTTGCCTACTACGTCGCGCTCTTCCTCTACGCGTCGCTGGTGGCGCGCGTCAGCTTCTTCTTCCGGGGCGTCCGCTTCTCGCTGGCGTGGTGGGCGTACACGTTCCCGGTGACCAGCGCCGCCATCGCCACCGCGGTGTACGCGTCCGCGATGACCAGCGCGCTCACCCAGGCGCTTGCGGTCGGGCTGTCGGCGGTCGCGTCCGTCACCGTCGCCGGCGTGCTGGCCACTACCGTGTACCGCGCGTTCGTTCGCCGGGACCTGTTCCCCAACGACATGTCCATCGCCATCCGGCGGCGCCCCAAGGCCAAGTTCGGCAAGATCCTCAAGCGCATCCGCACCTCCAGCGCCGACCTCAAGGAGCTCGTCGTCTCCAGGCACAGCGGCGGCCGGTCGGCGGCGGAGACGAGCAGCGTCAGAGAGCCGCCCACCCCGATGGTGTACGGCCGCGCCAGAGCAGAGCCGTAGCCTGCCCGGCTGGCTGCCCGTAGGTGGATGTGGATCATATTCGTATCGGTTGCCTGTACAGTTATTTGGGCCTTTTTGCTGGTGGACCACGAACTAGCCCAGCTGTAATAATCCAGCCAAATTAGGTTAGGCCCAACTAAAGTTGTTCTCATTCCCTAACTAGTACTCCTGTATTGGAGAACTGAATTTCTCCCATATAAATATGATCTTATAAGATATATTAAAGATCACTACTTGTCTCTTCTTGTCATATTAGGGCAGTTGTTTGGAATATTATTGGCTTTAGTAAAGTCTAGGAGCTCGCAATAGACTAAACACTATTCATCAATTCTTGGATAAAACAGTGGCTTAAGGTCACTCCCAGTTGTCACTGTTTCCAAGACTCTTCTTTGCTGAAAACAGTACAAACAAATTTCATCACATGATAGGGTCTGTTCGCTTGAACTTATCAGCCGGCTTATCAGCTAGAATCTACAGTATTTTTCTTTCACAACAAAACAGCTTCAGACGGCTTTAATACCAGCCGAACAAGCCCAAATCTTATCTCCCTTCATTAATACTGTGTCACGTTAGCTTATCTAATGATCATGAAACTCTTATAAAACCCCTGAAACTGGTCTAACTGCTATAAATTTGTCCATGTCTTTGGCCTATCAATTATTTGTTGGACAATCTAGAAATCAAAAAATAGTACATGCGTCCATAGAAAAATAATCAAAATCCCAACTGAAACTGTGCCATGCTTATGCTTTTATGAAGTACTCCCACTCGTAATAAAAACAACCGGTCTGCGTGTACCTTCTGCACTGAGAAAAAAGAAAATCATTTGGGAAGGAGATAAAGGGTCTGTTCGCTTGTCTGAATTCTGTAGGAATCTGGATGGTTTGGTGAAATGTTGGAGGAATTTGTGAGAGAAAAAACACTGTTCTGGATGAAAAAATAAGCAGATCAAGCCAGGTTTAAGAGCACACGAACAGGACCAAACAGAAGACCACCCGAGTAATCTTCGGGCGCGTTCGCTAGTCTGGTAAACCAGCCGGCTGATCCTCCTCAGCGAACACTGTTCATCAACCAGCCGCTACAAAGTTTCTCTGTTACAAAACCAGTTAGTTTCAGCCAAGTTTTAGACCAGCGAACGAGCCTTCGTCGGAATCATTCACAAATCAGGATGACTAGTGGGATGATTGCTGCTGCGTATGGATCCATTCATGAATAGCAAGCGAACGGAACCGCTGGCCGAGCCGACAAGCATTGATGAACGCCACCAGCCGCTCGTCCGGCCGGTGCACAGCGCAGCTACTCATCCCCACGGTCTCTCGTGCCGCAGTACATGGCACCGGCGACCGGCCTCACTCTCCCTCTTGCCCCGAGGCTAGCGTTCAGTTAATTGGGTGAAATCAGTTTGGTAAAAACGGTTTTGGTTTTAGTTTGCAAGAAATGTTAATGGATATCTTTCTTTGTCAAAAGACTAATAAGTACAGTAATAACCGATCAAAGTCGATTTCGGTTCGGCTAATAGGTTAACCATAAGCCTATTATACTTCTACGGCAGTTAATGCAACAACATAATTGGGTTGGAAAGCACGTAACAAAAATTGAATCATGTAATAAAATAAAAGGAAAAGCAACAAAAAATATTTCTGATAAATAAAGTCTCGTAGAAATACATTTAAATAGTGTTTAATATCATAGTATGAAAGAATTTCAATTAAACGGCTCAAAATCGAATAATTTTCGGTTAGCCGGAATAGCATCAAAGTCTTCACCAAATAGATCATGAAAATTTTGGTTAACCGACTTTTTTGGTTAAATCGGTTCGGTGAAATTTTGGCCATTACTGTTTACTGTGCAAGAATTTTCTATGAATTATAGAAAAATATATAAATATTTGTATTTCATTAAATTTTATAGAAACATAGTATTCAAAAAATACGGCGTTGAAACAGCATTTAACTTAATCCAATCCACGCAAAGTGCTACATGGTCTGATCCGCTGCCTTCCGTACATATTTCTACAGCAGCAGTTGGTGACTTGTTTCTATCAGAATCCTTAACAGAAAGGTGACTTTGTTTTTTTTTTTAGTTTTACTACATGGAGCATTGTATGCCGATGGGAAATCGAATTTATTTTAGAAAAAGGAATTGTTTCTAGCCTTTCCAGTCGCACAGAAATATTTTTTTTTTCTTCCGTTCATTTTTGACCAAAATATCCAAGGCACCTCTAATGCTCTTCGTGCCAAAGTTGACAGTCTCTTTGTATCCACAAGTTACAGCGACACCCAAATTGCAACAAGTATGTTCCTAAAAGTAGCCTACATAAAAGTCGTTTTGCAATATCATATCAGGCCTTGTTTAGATTGTCTCCAAATTCCAAGTTTTTTCGCTCTCTCTCTATCACATCAATTTTTAGACGTATGCATGGAGCATTAAATGTAGGTAAAAAAAATAACTAATTACACAGTTTGGTTGTAAATCACGAGACGGATCTTTTGAGCCTCTTTTGAGCCTAGTTAGTCCATGATCGGACAAAGTTTGTCAAATACAAATAAAACGTGCTACAGTGTCTAGGTTGCAAAAATTTACAATCTAAACAAGGCCTCATTATCTGTGAACCAAATTTGACCCCCGCAAAAAATTTCGGTCTTCGGCTATTCCAGTTAACCAATTTCCAAACATATACTAATCGTCGGCTTATAGATTTAGGTGGGGTTAACCTAACAGCTACTCCTATTTGATTTAAAATCTTGGCATCCTGACATTAGTTATTTCGTTATTACAATCACAGGAATCTGATATTAATTGTCTCCATATATAGAAATCTGGCATTAATTATTTCGTTACCATCAGGGTGTGTTTGGCAACTATGTGGGAAGAAACATGGGAATTAGTGGTGGGAGTTGATAGAGGGAATTAAGATGAGGAAATTGACTTTTAGCTCAAATCCCTTGTTTTGTTCGTGAAGGGAAATAACAAGAGAAATTGAAGAGAGATTTCATATCCCTGTTTGGTATGGGGGTTTTAAGGAAGAAATTAAAAGGCAAATTATGATGGATCATGCGGATCTATTTTTTTTTATTAAAAAGATAACTGCCACCCAATTTCCACCTCTCTTCTAGGAAATTGATTAGTGAGAGTTGGCCCTCTAAACTTTTATTCCCTTTCCCATCAAAACTTCCATTCTCACAGAACAAACCAGATATTTATAAACTCAGTGTCTCTGAACTCCCATTCCCTGCTTCCCATTACACCTAACCAAACGAGCCGTCAGAGAAATCGAAATGGGAATGTAGCATGAAAATCTTGCGGTGAAAACGGCGTTCATTTTCCACGGCGGGTCCCGGTACAGTCAGTGCGCCGGTGGTCAGTCGGAGGCAAAGTCGTCAAGCGAAGCAACCAAGCAACCAGCGAGGCAGGGGAGGCGCGAGTGCGCGGTGAGTGAGCAATGATTGAAAAAATTGAAAAAATAATACTAGAAAGATTGGCTTTTTAATTACGATGACACTCGGATAGATAATAAGTGGCACATCAATGTTTATGAACGTGGTTCCGTTATCAAATCTGCCGACGACCGATCTGATCTTTCGAATCCAGGCCATGTTTAGTTCCCTCAAAATCCAGAATTTGGCACTATGCAAAAAGAAGATTCTCCATCACATCAAACTTGTGGTACATACATGGAGTACTAAATGTTGACGAAATCAAAAACTAATTGCACAGTTTGGTTGTACTTTGCGAGACGAACATTTTGAGCCTAATTAGTCAACGATTGGACAATTATTACCAAATAAAAACAAAACGCTACAGTAGCTACAGTGTACCGACTGAATTCGGCGGCGCCGATTCAGTGGCCATCTAAACACGGCCCCAATTTTTTCAAATCGCCTTCCCCTGCCAAATCGCAAAACAATCCAAACCAGACCGGCGGCGGCCCCGCGCCCGTCGCCATCAAAGCCACCGCTGCGGTCTCTCCTCCCGGACCCCTCACCCCTCCTCCTCCGCGGACCACCGCCAGCGCTCGACGGCAACACGCGCACGCGCACGCCCCACGCACGAAGAGTCAACAGGAGAGAGACTGGCGATGGCACTGGCAGTGGCAGTAGAATAAGCTTGCGTCGAGTGGGAGTTGGCGAGGCATCGCTCGCTTCCTTCCCCTCCACCCCACTCCGCCCACCGAGTGCCACTGTGCCAGTGGAGCGCTTCCTTGACTTCCCCTCTCCGCCTCCTTGTCCTCCCTTCCCTGCCGGTGCCCGTTCTTTGCTCCCCTCGCCGGTACGCCCGCCGCCGGAGCGGAAGAGAGCCGGAGGGGGAATGCAGCCGCCGCAGCACTGCCCGCCGGCGGCCGGCGCCTGGGGCGGGGTCGCGGGGGCCGGGGCCAGCCCCACCGCCGTCGACGAGGCGTCCATGGAGTGCAGCAAGAGCTTCATCAAGGCCCTGCAGGTGCTCCCCGAACCGCGCATTCCTAGATCCATCCATACACGCACACACAAAAATATTCGATCGAATTCCTTGTAAGTCATTATAAAAAGTTGAAAGTCCGTTGAACTTTTTTTGGTGGCTCACAGGGATTGCGATCTTTTTAAATGGCACGAGAAATTCCCTTAAAATATTCCTTAAAAAAAAACTAGTTCCTGCTCCGTTTCACCGGGGATCCGGCTGGATTTCTGTTTCACGATGATGGTGTGCAGGAGCTCAAGAACCTGCGGCCGCAGCTCTACTCCGCCTCCGAGTACTGCGAGAAGTCCTACCTCAACAGCGAGCAGAAGCAGATGTGAGTCGCGTTCCTGCATCCTGCTCCTGCATTTCAATGCCACAAGGGTGAAGGAATTACCCACTTCTTACCACAGCGGCCAGCCATGGTTGCTCCATGCTGTATCTAGCACTATTTTGTCATTTCGCGCAAGGGTTCAAGAATTCAATCGGAGCGTGGGTGCAGCATGTGCTGGTAGCAACTACCCAACTACGTATGATAGGTGGGGTGTAGAGGACTGAGCCAACTAAGGCAAGGACGGCAACAGGTGTGAGGAAGGGACTTGATGTGGAGATGTGGCTAGAGAACAAACTCTACTGGCTAGAGAAGGATATAATTTTTTGATATCATCTGGAATTTTGGAGTTACCTGACAACTGTCTGTGTACTGTTTCTAGTCTGAATTTTGTCACTGCATTGAAATTCTAGTAACAGGGACCCACTCTTGTTTCACAGCGCAGAATTAATTTTATAAATAGATAGGATGTGCACTTTCATATCTTTTATTAATGAATCGATGGTGTACTGAACTCGAACTTGCAGTATACTCTTATTTCAACACAGGACATTTTCAGTTGTAACATTCAGGTTCACTGACCATATTATGACAACTGAAGTTGTTAATTTATGTCAGGGTACTGGACAACTTGAAAGACTATGCTGTACGAGCCGTCGTCAATGCAGTTGATCATCTGGGTACTGTTGCCTACAAATTGACAGATCTTTTCGAACAGCAAGCTTTTGAGGTGTCAACTTATGAACTGAAAGTTGCACGTCTGAACCAGGTAATGCCACTTATCTGCAATACTTGCATTGTAGGGTGATGAAACCATTCTGGTTCAAATACTGATCTATTTTCAAATCTGTAGCAAATCTTCACATGCCAAGTCTACACAGACAAAGAAGGCCTCAGGCAGCAGCAAATGATTGGAGCAAACATAAAACACCACAAGCACTATATCCTACCACGTAAGTGAATGTAAAACTAAGAGCTCACACACTGTTTGATTACAAAAGAAAGGGTGCTGAATTTTGACTCTCCATTTTTATCTGCCAAGCTAGCTGGTTATAAAAGATCCCCGGCGCATGGACACCAGCAAGTAGACACTGATCAGGAATCCAAGCCTAGACCTTATCCCTCTGGTGGGCCTTCTTGTCTATTCTCTTTGCTCATGATGAAGTTTCAAGGCATGCAATGTACCATATTAAACAAAAAAATTTATTTTTTTATTTCGTTGGTGCAGCAAAAACCCTTTCCTGGCATCTGTCTTCAGAGAACAGTACCAAAGCAAACGCACATAAACCTACATTTGCGTAAGAATTCTTCCAGTTTTTGTTCAGCTTTGTATAAAACTTATTTTTTGTTCGTTAGTGCAATGGGGTTTATGTACTTCTGGTGTCATCTGCTTCTGTGCAGCCTAGTGGACACAGCACCATCAAAACCTGCATCAGGTGATTTAATCATTCTGTGTATCAACTCATACTGCAATTTAATTTCCTGTAAGTTGTTTTCTGCTTTGTTTGTGTGCACAGATTGAATTCTCCGTATGAATCTCTCATGTTTCAGGTAAGGACCGGTCTGCTTCTCCTATGCGCAGGTCTCTGCAGTTTAACAGGAGCACCAGTTCTGATGCTATGCAAAAGGTTGGCACTAAGGTAAGCTTGAATATGGCCAAATCTGTATCTTTTTTTGTTTAAAAGGTCTCATTGTGTATATTTTGTTTTTTTTTCACTTTGTAAATTAATAGGCCATGCCTTTCTTTTCAGAACCTATCTGGTGTAAAGGAATTTTCAACATTTCATTCCTTCGACAACCCTAAAGGTCGTGCAATCCAAAAGGCCCCTGTTGGCACTAAAAGCATGCTAGCGGCTCTCTTCATCAAGCACAAATCATCAAAGATGAAAAAGATCGCAGTTCGCTGACGAGCTCACATTTGATTGGGGCGACATCACTGTAAATTTCATTTCGTGCAGGAAAGGAAGCCTATTATTGTACATCTGACCTATCGCTATGCGTTGGATATGCTGATGGTTTAGAGGCCGAGTATTCTGTTAGTCATATTTCATTTCAGCATATCTCATCTTGCGGATGACCAAGATGTAATGATTTCACATAAGCTCATACAACATCTTGTCGTGTAATGCTGCCTGAAGCTTTGGCATTTAGCATAAATAAATGCATCTTGGAAGTAGCCTTTCAGAGTTGATTTTCTATTCTGTAAGAGCAGTTGCTTTTGGCTGATGAATGCCTGCCCATTTCAAGATATGTACATGCGCTCATGTGTTAATTGGAGAAAGCATCGAAAGTGCTCAAACCTGCTCATGTGAACAAGTGAAGTGGTTGGTGTCCTGTACCAGCTATTATTTTCTGCTTTGTGCCATTCGAACTACTCTACAGCAACGAATTTGGTCACAAGAAGTCTTAAATATTTGGAAGTTGAGCCAAACAACATTTTATGATACATTATTGATTCTAGTACTTTTGCACTGTAGGAAATGGAAATTAAAAGTCGAGCTATGTTCGTTACAAAGTATAATCTTGTCTGGTATCGTCATCAGGGACTGTCATACAAAGCCAGGTTTCTCACATAAATGATCCAGTGACCAAAAAGAAAAGAAAAAGAGGGAGAGAGGATCAGAAGGCACATCGCATTACTTTTTGCCTGATATATGATAATTTGGAACTGTATTACAAGCCCATTTCTTACATAAAAGATCCAGAGGCAGGAAACATTAGACCATAAGGCACGCCTTATTAAGGATACATGGAAATATCGTAAGATGAGAAGGTAGAACATGGAAGCGGCAGAAAGAACCTCCTACCATCCATGTAGATGGGCACACAAAGGCAGTCAACCATGATTGGTAACTTGTCCAAGTATGGAATATCATTGCACAGGTGCCTGGCTGAGGGTTCCACTTCAGAGTATGAGTTGCTCCCCTCTCTGACACTGGAAAATATCTTAAAAGCCTTTTTTTTCAATTAAACGTAGGACTGTAGGAGAGCCTTAAAACATGCGCCTCCGATTTGGAACAATATCGGGGCTATTATTCTTCATCATAGCAACAAACTCCTGGTAGTTGATTCTCCCATCCTACGTAGTAAAACCAAAAGACAAATAGCACTTAGCAACTGAACTAAGCAATTCATGTGAATTTAAATAGCAAACATCACAATTAGTTCTTTCATCATTAGTCTTTTCTTAACAATGTGAGCCATATGGTTCCAATTGTTAAGAGAGGACCCGATAACATGATGGTTTAGCTTACCAGTAAATGTATAGTAAAGACAATGGTTTCTTGATTACTAGCGAAACAAGTTGAACCACTGTTCAGACTCAAGGTGCTTGTTATTGGTGTAAATAAATTTCATTACTTTATTGCATTAAGAAAAACTGCTTGTTTTTTAAAAACAAAATCTCCTTCAATGTGCCAAAAGTCTCCAAGATCTAAACAGTGATAATGCTTCCTATGAAATAATAGCAAGTGATATTATTTTGGGTTTCCTGGAATTACTCACATGATCTGTATCTACTTCAGCAATAATTTCTTTAATTGTTGCCTCATCACCCATATCATACTTCTTCAGAGCTTCTTCCAACTCATCAACTGTAATGTGCCTGTACAGGAATGTGCAAGCAACAGAAGTTAATGTTAAAGGTCAAACTCAGTACATAAGTAATGAAAAAGTAGAGTTAGAAGTGAAATTACCCGCTATGGTCCTTATCAAAATACTCGAATGCTTTAAATATATGATCATCCTTCTCTAATCTATTCATGTGCATTGTTGCTGATATGAATTCAACATAATCAATGGTACCATTTCCATCAACATCAGCCTGTTCATGAAGGGGAAAACAATTAACAAGAGTGGAAATGGTCCCAGAATGGTTCTGGAGAGAATGAACTTGAACGAAAAGCACAGGATCCGTCAGACTACTAGAAATGTGAAAGGTTCAAACTCACACAATGTCATCATACTGATTAAAGTCATATGGTATTATTTATTTCCTCCCTTATCAAATAAGAACACATCCACTACAACTATTTTGAGCACTACTGGCATTTTCACATAACAGGCAGTTGCATCACATTATGTGAATAAGGGAAGCATTATGATTTAAGGCTATGGGGCTACAAGATAAGAGTTTACCGCTTCCATCAACTGCCTTATTTCTGATTCAGAGATTTTGGTGCCGAGCTTTGGTAAACCAGCTCTCAATTCTTCCAGCGTTATAGTCCCACTGTTATCAGTATCCAGGGATTTGAACATTTCTTTCAAACCCACGATCTCTTCCTCTGACAAGTTCTCTGCAACAACCTGATTGTAACAGAAGCGACGTCAAGATGTTTCATGTATTATTAAGGACTGGAGTGCTAAAAAGAGAGAAACAGTAACAAAAATCCGGAAGATCCGTTTACCTTCAAGGCAACCTTCTTAAGCTTGTTCATTGCCCGGAACTGCTTCATTCTGCTTATTACTGTAATGTCTAGTGGCTTGTCTGAGGCCTCTCCATCCTCTCTAATCCAGGGATGGTCTGTGTGCTTAATGTATTAGATTGAGGCACTATATACAAACAGAGCAAGAATGAAGGCTCATTTTGCAAAGAGAGCATAAAAAGCTTGTATACAGAAGAAGATAAATAGGCAGTGCACTTGGCATGATGAGCAGCACCCCCAATCAGTAGAACCAGGATTTTTTTTTTTTGGTTGCAGTAGAACCAGGATTGGCAATGGATGGGAGGGTTCGAGGTTCGCTTGCTCGTAAACGATCGTAAATTTCCAGCCGGGAACAGTGTTTTTCTCTCACACCAAACCAACCAGCAGTAAATAATCCACGATACGATACGGCCTCCCGAACAGGCTCATGTTCGACGATAGCACTAGCGGATACTTACTCAAAATTTCAGCAGCAGTAAGCCGCTCCTTGGGATCTTGGCGCAGCATCTTCTTGACCAAATCTTTTGCGCTATTCGATATGGAAGGCCAGGGATCAGATGCGAAATCAATATGACCTCGCAAAACAGCATCAAATATGCCATCCTCGTTCTCTGGTAAAACCAAGACCAAAATCAGGGGAGACAGAAGACAGAGCATCCGTGTCGTGTTAGTAAGGGGACAGTGGCATTGGCATCAGGATGTGGCTGGTCGGTTTACGCAGCAGGGCGCAGGGACACGTACCGGCCCAGAAAGGAGGGACGCCGGATAGCAGGATGTAGAGGATAACTCCGGCACTCCATATGTCCGCCTCAGCTCCGTATCGCCGCTTGAGCACCTCCGGGGCGACGTAGTAGGCGCTCCCGACAAGATCCCTGAACTGCTCGCCTGCATTGCAATCCAATCATCGATCGTTTTCAGTTTGAGTTGAGTTGGACACGCTACAGAGTGGGAGCTGGATCGCTGAGACCAAATCAAACAACAACGATTCCTCCTCTAGACTCTAGTTAAAGCACAAGGCAATCAAACAACAATGATTCCTCGTCTTGGTATGTGCTGAATTCCCACATGAGGATGAGGATGAGCATCTATCTATATCTATGGAATGGAATCGAAGTAGAATCATACATACATAGTGAGTAATCGAATCGAAGCAGAATCATACATAGTGAGTAGAGTGAGTAGGACTGAAATCGAAAAGGCATCCGAAAACGATGGATATCCCTGTGAACACAGTAGTGAAGAGCGAAGGGGATTAGTTAGTTACCGGGCTTGAAGAAGACGGAGAGCCCAAAATCCGTGGCCTTGAGCGGCGAGTCCTCCCTCTTATTAAGGAAGAGGAAGTTCTCGGGCTTTAGGTCGCGATGCATGACCCCCATGGAGTGGCAGCTGTGCACGACGGAGACGATCTCCCTGCAGAGCGCGGCGGCGGCGCGCTCGGAGTAGTGCCCCCGGGCGATGATGCGGTCGAAGAGCTCCCCGCCCTCGCAGAGCTCCATGACGAGGTTGACGGAGTGGCGGTCCTCGTAGGCGCCCCGGAGCTCGACGATGCTGCGGTGGCCCGTGAGGTGGTGCATGATCTGCACCTCCCGGCGGACGTCGTCCACGTCGTCCCGGTGCGCGAGTTTGCGGGTGGCGATGGACTTGCACGCGTACCGCCGCCCCGTCGGCTTGTGCGTGGCTAGGTAGGTCACGCCGAACTGGCCCCGGCCTAGCTCACGCCCGAACGTGTAGGATGCGCGCACGTCCTCCATGGGGCGGCCCAGCACGCGGCCGATGTTCGTCGCCCCGCCCGGGGCGGGGGCGGGGGAGGCGGATGTGGGGGCGGGGGGAGGAGCATGCTGTGGCGGCGGAGGACGCGGAGGTGGGGGCTGCTGCTGCTGCTGCTGCTTGGGCTTGTTGGGGTTGTGGTGGTGGTGGTGGTGGTGGTGCTTGGGCGGCGGCTGCGGAGGCTGGGAGGAGGCGTGGTGGGAGGACTGATCGTGCGGCTGCGCGCGGTGGCGCGAGGCGCGGCCGCCCATGGCGCGCGAGCGAGTGTGATCAGGAGCTGCGGGAGAGGCCTGATAGAGGGGCCGAAGAGGATTTGGGGCAGCAGGAGGGGACTGGAGGGAGCATGGGCAGTTGAGGTGGAGGAGGAAGACGAGGAGGAAGCAGCAGCATTGCTGATGGCTTTGATTTGGTCAGGGGTGGAGGGTTTGCGCGTGGAGACGCACGGGTCGGCGGGCGACCGGTCGCCGTCTCCTCTCCACGGACGCACGGACGCGGTGGGGCGGGGGAGCCAGCGGGCGTGCCAGAGCTGATGCCTGCTGGAGCTGAGCAGCCCGCAGCGTTCGAGACTCGAGTGTGTGCTTTGGATAACGAACGAGGCAGTTGCGTCGCGGTTTCCGGGCGTGACGGAGACGGACGCCACGCGCCCTCTCCCTCCGCTTGCGGTTGCAGACACCGGCGGTCCGGTCTCGGGGTCTTGGCTGCCTCTCTCTCTGAACCTTCTTGTCCTGTGTCCGTCTGCAGCCTGGACAAGACACCTCACTCACACTAGTGTCCTCACCGTAGACCGCACATTGCAACGGTGGGCTCGCGTGGCTGTTCGCTGCAATGAGTACTGTTACCGGAACCAAAAGCCAAATTAGCACCTTTTTTTTTTTTTTTTACTCTTACTCTCTGTAAAAAAAAACACACATTCTAGCTCTGAATATATTCGTTAGTTAGGATTGCATTTTTCTTTTACGGAGGGAGTAAGGTTCCTTAGTATCCTCTGTCCTGTCCATGGATCCATGATCCCATCCCGTGACGTGGCGATGGCGACTCAAACCACCGTGCACGCGTGTTCCGGTTATGGTAGCTCAAGATTGTCTCCAACAGCCCTCACCTAAATATGAGATGCATTCGTTCATCTGGGTCACGCAGGAAAAAAGGATCACGCACCCAAACCTTCCCGTTTTCCGACAGCGGACCCAAAAGGAGAGCCCCCGAACAGATCCTTGCATGCGCCGCTCGCTTCCCTCCCCGCCGAGCGCCGAGCCGGCCGCGCCTCGCTGCGCCATTCCACATGGCCACTCCCCGTCGCGGGCCCGGCTTGCCATCGTCGGCCGCGCCGGCGGCTCCCCGTCGCGGGCCCGGCTTGCCATCGTCGGCCGCGCCGGCGGCTCCCCGTCGTGGGCCCGCCTCGCCGCCCCACCCCGGCGCCTCCTGCGCGGTCTCCTAAAGGCCAAACATGGCCACGGCGCATATTTGGGCCGAGGAGAAAGACTGACACATATTTGAGTTTCCTCCCGCCTTCGACGCAAAACAGGTTATCCCTTTGCCGTATCGTGATGCATAGCCCGTTGGAGAGGTAGCCGTAGCCATAGGCTCATAGCCGCCGCCCGCCGGCACCAGGACGGGAGTCTGGTACACTCACCTCACCCCGCGTCTGCCTCTTGCTGTCCGTCCTCTCATCATTCACCCGGTAACTCCATGGGCCGCATGGGGGATGGGCCATGCCAAATCAAGCTCAACCAATGGATTGAATGATGATCGAAGCATGCATGGGAGATAATCAATAGTTTCCATTATTAACGTTATTTATGATATTATCGATATCTGCTTTTGTGTGCACAGCTTCGTAAAAAACAACAACTGAAAACTCCGAGATATCTTCTGCTAAAAAACACTGACAACTCCGAGTCAGAGAACGCTTCACCAACCTCGTCAGCGCGTTGCGCGTGCCGAGTCCACATCAAATCCTGTCTATCCACCTCTCATGTCATGGATGCCGATGGACCTCTCGCGCCTCGTCGAAGCCAGACCCGGGCCCCGGACCGATCGGAGCACAAGCGCTCGCCCGATCGGTCGGTCAGAGATGAACAGAGAGAAACGCACTGGCCGTCTGCTGGCATCGGACTCCGACAGGAAACGATTGGCCTTCTCCAACGACGACTCCACCCGTTGTCAGGTACTCAGGTCACAGGCAGAGCCATGTCAAAGTTAACCAAATCCCACAAGTCAAAGTCCTGCCCGTGCTTGGCTTCCCTCCTCTCAAGGAAATCCGGACGCGGACAGCCCAGCGCGGCGCCAGATCCCCGTGACCGCCACCGGCATCGGTGTCAATTCATTCCTTGCAACCTTGTGTGTCAGAGCTGCAACTCTGATTTCTGACTGGCTGGGACCAGGATCGATCGCTGCCCGATTTCGACTGCCTGGCCTGGGGCTACAACTAGAATCGCTGACCGGACAGCAGGTTAACTGGGACTGGGAGGAGCGTGTGTGCAGTGTGCTCAATCGCTGCTTCTCTGCCGGCCTCCCCTACAGCTTGCAATGCAATCAATACAAACTCCCAGAGAAGCCCATACTACATCTCAACCTGGAATGGAAACCCATGACTTGCCACTAATATATTGCTCCTAATAAACCAGGCCAGGCACCAATTCCTCTCGACAGATGCTTGCCCTGTTAAGCTTGAACTGCTTATCAGCCATGGTATAGTATTTTTCTCTCACAATAACCCTGTTCGGCTGATAAACCGGCTGATGCTATTTTTTCATTACTTTACAACAAGATAGTTTCTTGCAATCAGATGATGGCACACTTCATTACTTTACAACAAGATAGTTTCTTGCAATCAGATGATGGCACACCAGGTACTCAAGCTTCTCAAAATCCAACCATACCAGCAGAAGCAACATGAATTTTCGGACTACAAAGCTAAACGAAACAAGGTCAAATGGTCACTCCCCAGTCCCCACCCTCAGCCTGTTCGGCTGGGGCTGAAACGATCATATACGATCGTAGATTATTACTGCTGGCTGGTTTAGTGTAAGAGAAAAATACTGTTCTGGCTGAAAATTTAAGATCGTTTACGACCGAGCGAACAGACTGAGCCTGCTTTTCACTCAAAAGACTCAACTTGCAATGCTTACGACACAAACTATCACAAGGATAGTAATACTTCACAATGGAACACCAAACAAACTTGAGATTTCTGTCTGCTAATAGAGCAGTCAATCACGGGCAATACATAATGCAGACGACGCCACGCTACACAGAGACACCACCACAACGACACTAATTAGTACTAATTACAACAATAACTGGACAAACTTCACACTATGACCTGGCCACCCCCTTATTTCTGCTACATGGGGCAGCTGTTTATGCGGGATCCAAGAATTGCGGCAGCGACAGTTTTGGCGATCCCCAAGACACAAACGACACTACTCAACACCTCCAACCCAGGAAACCAACCGACCCATCCTCCACGAAAATTGCCCCCCTACAACATCACATCCAGGTGCGCATGGCAGACGAAGTCGAGGCCGCGCCATTGACAGAGCAGCTGGCGGCGCTGACATGGCCTCTTCCGGAGAGTAGAGCTAGCAGCCCACTGCCATGAACCCTGCCCTCTGGAAACGGGGTTGCACTGGGCTGCGCCTCGACAGAATCATCATCGTTCCATCCCAGGAGAGCTTCGTCTTCTCCGTTCGTCATATCAGCATCGCCCTTCATTGCAGCAGCCTGCATCTCATCGGACTTGCAATCAGCTGTCAACTGTCTGATCGCAGGACCTAATGAGCCGCCGCCATGGACGCAGTGATCCTCAACCAAAGCGCTGTGACCTGCACAAAGACCAATCTTGCTACGAACAAACTTGTCACACGGCGGACCACCAACCCCAAAGCTTGAGCCCTCCTGGCCCCATGAGCAGCGTCTGCCTCCGCCATGGGCCTTGCAGAAATCGGTGCTCCCCTGCGCGCTCTTGGCACAGCCCTCAAACTTGCATCTCTTACCACCGCCGTGGCGGACACAGTATTCCGTCCTCCTCTGGCACTCTTGGTACAGCCTGAGACTAAGCACCTCTTCCCACCACCGTGAGCAACACAGTACTCGTCCCCACCGTGGACACTCTTTGGGCACACACCGCCACCCTGGTAGGAGCAGCGCTTACCTCCACCGTGCCCCTTGCAGAGAGAAGTGCTACCTTCAGCTCCTTTGGTACAGCCGGGGAATGTGCAGCGCTTCCCTCCACCGTGCGCCTTGCAGAACTTTGTGCTTCCCTGGGCACCCTTTGTACAATCTGGAAACTGACAGCGCCTTCCACCACCATGAGAGATGCAGAGGCCAGAGTATGCTTCCGCACTTCTCTTGCAGTTCTCCTCTGGCACCTCTTGCCGCCTCCATGCTTGATGCACAAGCCAGACTTTCCACGCAGCGCGTGAACAGCCTTCCTGACTACTGTGCGACCGCCACCATGGGCTATGCAGTGGTCAGTGCGGCCTTCAGCACTCTTCGTAGACAGCCAAGATACTGGCATCGCCTACCACCACCATGTGCTTTGCAGTAGATGGTCCTTCCCTCAGCTCCTTCTGGCACCCAGGTTTCTGGCATCGCCTACCACCGCCATGGGAAATACAATAACCAGAGGCTCCTCTTGCTCCTTTCTCACATCCTGGGAACTGACAGCATTTAGTGTTAATGCTCCGTTTTTGGGAGTTAGTTCCCCCAGAAGTACAGGCAGCTGGGCTTTTCACACTCACTGTAATGGCTGATGAGACATCTGGAGAAGGCACAGCATCATCAACCTTTTCAGATATCTTTGGCAATGAAAAGTTGTAGGTTGCTTCAGAAGCATATGATGATGAAGCTATATAATGCCTGAAAACCCAACTAGAGGAGGGCTCGAGTTTTTCCCCAATAGCATCTGTCACCAAATTAGGTGCCACTGTCTCTAAGCCATCATTAACATTTATTGATGCAGTACTTGCATTGGTGACAGCTGATTCAGGCGAACAAGTGGACAAACTCAACTGAAGATCCAGTTTGGGAGCACCTGCTGACGGCACATGCTCAGCACATGGCTTTTTGTGATGATGTGCAGTATCATGACCAAGACAAAGATCAAAATTGAGACCAAGATCCATTGATGACTCCTCATCAGTCTCTTTCAGTGAAGATGGGGACATCATGCAAGTTGTGGGGGAGCTAACCTTGCTATTTTCAGAGGAACTTGGTGAACAGCCCAGGCCAAGGGTGAGCAGTGGATTTTCAGGACCTTCCACTCCAGCCATATCAACCCACTTCCTTTTCAGTGCTCTCAGATTGTCTGTAGAGAAGTTGGAATACAGTAGTGTGCCAATGGCAGTACCTCTGTACTCAACTGCTTGCTGAACTGTGCTCCAGTGACAAGGATCGTTCAAGGAGTTAATATTACCACCAGATCCAAGGTTTAGGGAGGCCCTGTCCATTCCAATCAAGAAACATAACCAAAGATGAAAAGAAAAGAACCCGCTGCCTGACTTCCGGAAATCAAAACTCTACTGTCATCTACTGTACTGGGTTAGAAGTCTCAGCAGGAATGTTTGCAACCTCCACTAACAAAGCCAGCCACGTCATCACGATCCATTTCTCGCCACTTTCAAGAATAAGAGGAGAATGGTGAGGTTTTGAGCTGAGCTTCAGTTTCTGGAAGAGCCAATAGACCTGCAGGTTAACAAAAAGCAATAGTAGATTAGAAAAGGCCAGGTAGAGGGTAGAATCTGATGTGAAACCAGCTTTCGAAAAATTCCACATCCTATTGTGTGGGAAAAGAGTGAGTACTAGCAACACAAAACAAACCAACAGTACTTTACAGAGAAACAGGAGGCTCCACAGTAGCATTAGGCAAGAGGTTCAAGATAGCCCACTGAACAAATCCCACATGCCTTGTGTGGTTGATATAGCACAAAGTAGTACGAAATAACAGTTGTTTAACCATAACCCTAGATTCTTGTACTACTACAAAAATCTGTTTATATGATGTATGAGCAGAAAGGTTAACAAAGGTGACCACTAGGCAGACAGGGGGGAAAAAGATTCGGTAAAAGATGATGGCAACTATGACCACGCGAAACCACAGTGCAGGACTGCAGATTGCATGATGCATCACAAGTAGATGGGCAACTACAGTCTATTGCACGTAGCGGGTGCTGTGCAGATCGCACTACACAACTTGCAGCGCAGATGTTTTCCTTTGCTATCACACAACCACTTCCACCGTCTGTCTGTCGTTTGCACTTTGCAGGAAATTTCATCAGTGTAGTACAAGAATAGACAGACGGTGGAAGTGGGGGACACCAATCTTTTCACTTCTGTAAATAAATATTCTTTTTTTCCCTCCTCCAAGTGTCTTCTTTTCAATGGGAGGAGGAATACCACATACCAGCGCTAGTATTTGTAGTGCAGGTGAAATTTGAAGATAAACTAACTGGGGGAGGCAAGAACAAGTTGACAATAGTCTGTTCGCTTGCTCGTATACGATCGTATATTATAAACTAAAATAGTATTTTTCTCTTCGACCAAAACCAGATAGGAGTAAATAATCCACGATCGTTTAAGACGAATAGGAAAAAAAACTAAATAAAGGAGAGCAATTTGAACTCGAACTCTATTTTGAAACCGAAGGAATCGGCCGAGAGGGTCTCGTGGAGCGCATTGGAAGCAACAGCCAAGGACGCCGCGGAGGGAGTCACAGGGAGACAGACAAATCCTCCATCGTTTTACATGTTAGACACACGAACGGCGGTGGCTACAGATCCGGCCGGAGCCAGCAGCGCCTCTGCCGAAGCGGAGCACTGGGTACCTACCGGAACGCCGGGAGCAGACTAGATCTCTTCTCTGCCTAAAGCCAAACCGGGAAACGAAACAATAACAAGAGAAGGAACGAACGAATGGAGAAGCTCCTAGTTTTCTTCCGGCGCCGGGAGGAACGGAATTGGTGCCAACAGAGTTTCAATCAACGCGTATACGCACAAAATAGCATGAGAAAGGAAGGCAGGGGGTCGCCGGTGGCTACCCCCGCTCCGCCACCATCCCGAAAGCCAAGGCCCCTCATGCGTTTCCCCGGCTGGCTCCAGCACCGAATCCAGCGACAGAGAGAAGGAAGCACCGCGACAGAGAGAAGGAAGCGCCAAACAGCACAGGAAGGAAGGAAGGAAGGCGAGGAGGAGGAGGCGTAGATCACCTGGCGGCAGCGGAGCGGGGGAGACGAGGAGACCCGGACGGACGGATGCGGCGGGCGCGCGCGGGAGCCGGGACGGGGACAGGGATGGGGGGCGGCGGGCGGCGTCTGGTGGTTTGGTGGTGTGCGCAGGGCGGCACGTGGGGGGGTGGAGATAAATCGAGCACGCGAAGCGAGGGGGGCAGCCGGAGGAGGCGCAGCGCAGGCGGCTTATAATAAAGCGGCTGCGGGAGGGGGGACGTGGTGGGGTGGCGCCGCGGCCGCCACGCCCGGCCGCGGCAAATCGCTGGAGCCACCCGCCCCGCCCGCGCGCCGCGGAGAAAAGACGATGATGACTTTTGTCGCGCTCTGCCTCTGCTCGCTGGCCATTGACTTTCTTCCGGCTGCAGTTACATTTCCTGCGTTTTCTTTTCCTTCTTCGGCAAATATTTCAATGAAGCTCAATTTCAGATTTTTATTTGAATTCACCTCAAATCAATCAAAAGCCATTACTAAAAGGTTCAAACCCACGGGAGCTCGTCGAATTCGCTTTGCCACGAGGAATTGATCTTCGCGGCTGCTTTTTTACCATTTTACCATTGCTTGCTTACTGGGTATGAGAGGAGCGGTGCGAGAAGGGACGTCACGTCGTCTGGGTCCCACCCACGGCTACGCCCCCAGGCCGATACTGTTGCACGGGCCCTGCGTGTCCGTGTCACGGGGCAGGGCGGGCATGTGCGCGTGCCGGCGGGCGGGCGGGCGGCGGCAGCGGTTCGCCGCCCACCGTCCGTGGTGCGCGCGCCGCTGGGGCCCGCCGCCTTTGGACGTGTTGGTGGCCTGCCGGTGCCGTCAGTCCAGACGAAGGAAAGCCGCCGTCTGCTCCAGCTCAAAAGGCACTCCAGATTGTTGCAGCATATAAAATTGTACAGTTTCTTCCTAACAGATTATTTTTACGAAATTATTATATATACAATTACTCTCTAAGAAGTTAAATATTTTAAAGCTCAGCTAACAAATCCGCCCCTGCGTTGCAACGGGGTGTATAATTTGTTGGATAGTCAAGACATCAATTAAACAATTTATAGCTTGACGATTTATTCAACGATCATGATTTGTTCTGATACATCTTTGAATCAAACTCCATGTATTCACCGACGTGTCTTAGAATCATACTTCATAGCATCGTCGAATGCGAGTTCATCAGCACAGTCATAGAACGCCAAGGCATCATATAGAAATTTAAAAAAGAGGGACAGACGAATCCTTTATCTTTAATATTAAGGGAGAGAGCGAGTGCGTCGGGTGAGTGGTTAGGGTTTATGTCGGGCTTATATATACTCGCACGGGCTAGTTTTATCATGTGCTAAAACCACGAACCAATGGTGTGGATTTTGAACTGATAGTGATACATATATAAATTATTTCTATCGACTTTAATAGAAAACCGGCGACGTGGAGTTTGTGTCGAACGTATCATGGATTTCCGTTAGTGTCTTCATTCGTTTTTTTTTTTTTTGAGAGGAAGCCTTCATTTAATTCAGTTCTGATTTCGACTCTGGATGAAGTGTCCGACGCCATGAACTACGACCAACGCTGAGGCACCTGATTCTCTGAATAACATGGCAGCAGTGACCACGGCGCAGACCCCGGAAGGAGGAGCGGTGCCTCCTTGTTCGACTTTTTGGTGCCGGACTGCTCGGTCGGCGTGGCACAGAGGAACGATGGCGTCAAACAGCCAGGTTTGCCTCTTGCAATTTGCAAGATCATTAGGCGCAAACACATTAGGTCTTACCTTCCATGATCTCATTCCATATATGCTTTCCTTCCAAAGATCCCAAACGGCAAACGAGGAAACATGTATTGCCTCTTCTTTTATAATCCGTACTTTTCAGCTTCTTTTTTTTAGCCAGAAAAGTGTTTTTCTCTCACAGCAAATCAGCCGAAACAGTGTTTTTTCTTGTTTTTCCAGCGAAGCGAACGGGACCATTACTTGCAAATCATCATAGTTCAACCACCAACATTGGACTCCTCAATCCTCATGGGCAGAGTCCAGCTTCATCAACACTGTCTCCCCGCCGGCGAGGTCGTAGCAGCTCAGCGCCTCCGAGTCCGCCGGCTCAGCGCGCACAACCCTCTCAAAGTAGTGCCCCACCCAGCAAAGAGACGAGAGCTGGATAACTGCGGCGGCTGTGTTGGCAATTCGTGGAATAGTGTGTCTGTGTGGACGAGGGGACCTACCAGTCGTGGTCGTTCTGCACGAGGTAGAAGAACTGCGCAAATTTAGCGAATAGTTGGGCTCAGCGGCGACGGCCTGCTTCGTATCTCTGCTGCGTCAGCGTGGTCCTCAGTCTCCAGCCCCGCCTACACCGGCGCGACGAGGCTTCTTAGGACGTCCGAGTCGCTCAGCTCCTCGGCGCGCGCTGGCCTGCATCGTGGAGGCCTCCGCGTCCCTCGTCCTCCTCTTCCTCTGCCTCCATCTGCTTGATGTGGAAGAGCGCCGCCGCCGCCGCCGCCACAGGGACCAAGACCAGCGCCTTAAGCAAGTCGCATGGGGCCTCTCGCACCGCGCGCGGACACGAGGAGCGCAGGCCACGATGCGCACTACACAAGAATGGGAGGAGGGCCGGCGCAGGACACGATGCGGCGGCGATCGGAGAGACAAAGAGCGTCGACGCCGCCCGCTGCTTCGTTGTGGGGGACAACGCCAGCGGCAACATCACGCACCACTTGGCCCGCCGCTACGCACGGGATCCTTCCACCTTCGCCAACGTCAGCCTCGCCGACCTCATCGCCATCCAGCCCATCTACGCCAGCGAGGAGCGCACTCCCGCTGAGCTGCGGCTCGTCGGCGCGCCCCCGTCCGCGCGTAGGGCCGAGCGCGCCGGTGCTCCTCCCGTCCGCGTGTAGTACCGCACGCAGGACACGGCATCGAATAGACTGTATATTTTTAAGAAATCCGACTCAATCTAAACTTAGGCCCCGATTGGTTCCCGGCTCCTAAAATCAAACAGCTAAACCACTTTCTAAAATTTAGTCAGGCAGTGTTTGGTTTGGTGGACTAATTGTGACAAAACTTGACATGTGCATGTTTAGGATGACCAAAACGCCCCTAAGCTCCTGCCCCTGGCATTTGGCCGGCGGGAAAGGGGAGGAAGGACCATTGGCCGGCGGAGAAGGGGAGGAAGGAGAACTGGCCGACGGAGAAGGGGAGGAACAAGTGCCTGCGTGCCGGTGAGCTCCAGCGAGATCCGGTCAAGATGAGCTCGACGCACGAGATCCGGTGAGCCCCGTCCCTAGCGTGCGCTGCCGGCCCGGTAAGCTCCGGCGAGATCCAGCGCTGTCCTATCCCCAGCGCGTCGGCATGGTGAGCATCGGCCACGGGCGGTGGCGGCGCCAAGGGCTCCGTCGTGCGTGCGTGCCTGGAGCCCCGGTCTCGAGCGGGTGGGGCGAGCGGCTAGGCGGGTGGCGATGGCCACGGGCGGCAGCGAGCGCAGGGGGGAAGCCCGACCGCGGGATAGGGTTGGCACTCGGGACAGGGCAATTATGAGAGGCACCACCTGTCCAAGTGGGCTTTTAGTCCCTTTTAGTAAGCTTTGGGTGACTAGTTGGCTAAATGCCATTTAGTCCTATTTAGTCAAAGTGTTTGATAAAAAAATTACTAAAAAGACTAAAAGCTAATAAATTTAGGAGCTTCTAAGTGAACCTAACACCCCCTTAGAGTTGCATTCTTTTTGGAAGAGAGGCGGTAGCGGACTAGCAGCGAAGAAGCAGTAATCTTGTCATTAAGTGAGCATAAAGCTACTCCATTGAACTTTCAATCTCTTGATGATGTCTATACACTAAAATAAAAATACTAAAACACAAAGGAAAAAAGGAAAGTGCATTGTGTATATAATAAGTACTATGCATTTAGGTACGTGTTTGACCGGATGGCGGTGCTTAACGAGCTGCCCGTGGCCGCCCCTTTTGGATGCCCTTGCCGCGCGTGTTGCCTGACCGAACAAATTCCATTCCTTGTTGCTGATGACGGGACGGATGATGAGGCGGCTTCTTCTATCTAGTAGCCCTCCCTTTTGGCTCGGCTAGCATCAGTCATCTGATGGCTCTTATCGTTTGAACTTATCAGCCGACTTATCAGCTAAAATTTACAGTATTTTTCTCTCACAACAAAATAGCTTCAGCCGGCTTTCGTATCTGCCGAACAAAGCCTAGAGAGAGGGATAAGGAGGACTGGAGGAGGAGCAAAGCCCAAAGCTTGCGGCAACCGGCAATGGAGAATCTATCTATCTATCCTTTCCTTGAGCCCAGCTCGCCCATCCATGCATCGGCTCAATAATGCTGTGCTATCATATGCTATATGCTAATGCTATCACTTGTCTCGTCGTTGCTTGCACAATACTGTCACTCACTACTATACGTAGCTAGGAGTGATGTATGTACGTGCTCCATGCATCTCTCAATGAGTCAATTCTCAACACCTACCGTAAGCTACCAGCTGTGCTCGGTGAGTTTAGCTAGGCAAGATAGCTTACTCCTCTGCCACTAAATATATGTTGTTTTCGCTTTTCGAGAAACAACTTTAACTAAATATATATTAAAAAAATATAAATATTTATGATACATAATTAGTATAATTAGAAAGATCTTTGAATTTAGTTTTTAATAAATTTATTTAGTGATACAAATGTTGCACGTATTTTCTGTAAATTGAGTCAAACTTGTGGCATACACGCCAACGATGACAATTATTCAGAGACGAAGGCAGCATGTAGCATCTGTGCTGTGCACTCGTCTTTCCTCTCTCTTCTGGTGTCTTCTCTGTTCTCAAGATATATACTGTACTCATTGTCCATCCCACTGGAAAAAGGTCCACTGCCAATTTTAGCAGCAACCTTTTTGTATTCAGCCCTTGCAGGCAAGGTTTGCAAAGGAGAGTAGTATCCTTATAGTGTTTAGTTTAATAAAATGAGTTAGTCCGTCGTCTACTCATTTCTCACTTTTTTTTTGTTTGGTTTGTACAATGAAATAGATCGATGCGTCATCTCATCATTTGTCACAAGCTAATAACTAGTGTTAGAATGAGAAATGGAGTCATTCCACTAAATTTGAGAAATAGACTCACGGTGCACCACCGTATATCAAGATAGAGTAATTCTTCGAACCCAGCACCATATTAGTGCTCCCTCTGTTTCCTAAAAGGAGTGCAATTATAAATTTGAATGAAGTTAATTTTTTAAAAGTTTAACTGAGCACATAAAAATATAATGTCAACGCTTATATTTCAAATAGATTTACTACGAAAATATATATTATATCTAATCTAATAATAATTTTTTGATATTATAAATGTTAGTATATTTGTTATATAGATTTAGTTGAATTTAAAAATACTTGATTGTAAAAAACAAAAATATACTTTTCTCCAATCCCCGCATGCCACATGCTCCACCGGCTGTTGCAGAGTCCTGCAGGATATCTTTTTTCTGCTTGCGTTGGGGCATTGGTCTCTGCATTCTTGGCACGTCCACGGCAAAAGCAGCCATTTTGGTACCGTCCAGAGTACAACAGAACCACTCCATGAGCATATCCTCTCCTGATGCCCTCCTTCCTTCTCTTGATCTCTTTCTCTTCTTAGAGTCGTAGCGAGTGCTGCCTCTCAAATCACTCCTTTCTCTATTTTCCTTTGGCTGTCTCGCGGTCCTTTTCGCTGGCTGATAAGCCATGTCTGAAAGCATCATTGGCTGATTTATTGTGAGAGAAAAATAATGTTCGTTGGCTGAAAACGTGGACTTTTGTGTTTTCTAGTTGCTCATTGCACTGTTATTAGTGTTGCTACGGTGAAAACTTTTTTTCTGACTAAAAAAAAACCTTTTTCTCTCTCTCTAATCCTCTCTCTCTACTGGCCGGTGGCTCAAAACAAGTACGAGGATGCTATATATGATGCAGACTCGCAACGACCTCGAGGATCGGATGTGATTTGTGATTTAGGTATGGGCAGCTCGATGACGGCAATTCAGATTATTTGCTTATAGATCGGCAGATCTAATTGTTCGGCCTGTTCGTTGTTTGGTTTCTGGGCTCATAAGTCCGGCTGGTGTTGGTTTATTGTAAGAGAAAAATACTGTTGGCTAGTTGATAAGTTCTGACTGAAATCAACAAGCAAACAGACTGGTTGCTGCTTTCACCTTAAGCATGTGATTATATTTGGTACCAAAATGGGGCGACTGACACAATAATGGGATATATTACATGCGTCTCGGGAGTTTTATGTTGCTGTCACGTTAGTTGATGCCCAGGAATCTTTCCTAGTAGACGATGTACGGTGCATTTCTTTTCTTTCCTCCTCATGTTTTTCTTTGCTCATCGATCTGCCATGCCACTTGTCGCCTCCTCCCTGCCATGCCAAGCCAAACCCACATGCTGCCACAGTGCCACATGGCACATCTCACATGAAAAATATATGTATTAATTACAACGAGGTACTAGTAAGCTCACAACCTTCAGATCTTACTTACCTTCAATTTCTTTATTTAAGCACAAAAGCAGAGAGGTGTAATTGCAATTTCGCAAATTAAAGCTAGGAACAAAAGGGATAATACCAATAGTTAGAGATTGGATGAAAACAATCTGAATTAGCCAGGAACGATTAGGAGAGGCCTAAATTGTTTTCTTTTTCGTTCCTTTTCTTGGAAATAAAAGTCAAAAATGGTATTACCGCAAATGAATAGCCACAAATATTGTGGTATGCCAATAAAGGTCAGTAATTGATAATGGACTATGTAGCGTGCCTGTGCGTTGCTATGGGACAACTAAATCTTTTGTACTAAAAACACACGGATCGCACGATAAGATAACAATACTGTTAAATTAAATACCGACGTTAAAGTGATATTTAATTCAAAAAGTAAAGTTCGTGAAATTAACACAGTCACGGAGAGCGCGGCGTCGCAGGCTCACAAACTCTACAGTATAGACTTTTTCGTGATATGGCTAAGATAATATTTTATATCGGCAGAAAGAATTCTCCGATATCCATTTCTTTCATGCGCCAATAAATCCATGAATAAGTTTCGCTGCATCTTCATATAATCCTGTACACACAGGTTCGAGTATATATGTAAATATTAGTGCCTGTCACATTTATATTTGTAACACCCTAAAAATTTCATTCTTTTAAAATAGCTAAATCTGATTTATATATGCAATTAAGTGAGCATTAAAATATAGAAAAATAATATTTTTTGTGAAAATAAAATCAATCATAAGGAATCGATACAAGTTGATGCATTCATGCTGCTGCATTTAATTTATTGTGATGTCTGGTTTTGACCTAAATGCCAAAATGGTTCAAAAACCCTTTGAAAATGAATTTAGAAATTTGATTTGGAAAAAGAAAAGAAAAAATCCTTCTCACTCCCTCCCCTCTCTCAATTCGGCCCGCTGGCCCAACCCGCCAGCCCAGCCGCGCGCGCCCTCCTTTCCCCTCCCCTTTCCTTCCTAGGCTGGTCCATCACCGCTCGGGCAACCGTCGCCGCTCCCTTAGCCCAGCACCGCACGGCAACAGCCGCAGCGCCCTTCCCCGCACCTCAGCCGCTGCCAGCCCGGGCCCGCACGTCAGTGCCTTCCCCAACCTCCAGCACCCGCGCCGGTCAAGACCCCAACCGCTCCGCGCCCACGTCTTCGGTCGTGGGAGCGTCCTCCCCCGCGCCTCTGCCTCTACAAAAAGGAAACCCCGCCCGAGCCGCTTCCCCCTGCTGTTTCCTCGCTCCATTTTCCCGTTCACCCGTGCACGAGGAAGCTACAACCACCGCTCTGAAGTCTCCGAGTTCCGCCGTCCGCCCCTCCGCGCGGATAGCCGTCCCCGAGCCGATTTCGACCCCGTTTGTCACCGCGGTGAGCTTCGCCTTGCTCCCCTCTTTCTCCCCGTGCAGTTTATTTCTTGTTTCATGGCTTCTAGAGCCCATTTCGCGTGCGGCCGTGAGCTCTCGCCGCCGGCTATGGCGACCCCCGCGCCAGCCGCGTCCTCCGGCCGCGCTCTAGACCTGGACGAGTTCGCCTGTCCCCTCTCTCTCTCTCTCTCGGTGCTCTCACTTCATCGAACCGTGGCCCGTAGGCCGAGTTCCGCGCGCGCCGGTGACCTCTATGCCGCCGGCCATGGCGACCGCCGCCTCGGCCGCGTTCTCCGACCGCCGTATCGGCCTTGGCGAGTTCCCCTTCTCCCTCTCGTTCTC